TACCAAGTTTGAAGACCCTTGCCTTAAAACATGCTGGCTGGGGGATTTGGGGAGTTGGTCTACATATCTTAAAGCATGCTGGCTGGGGAATCCTGGGAGTTGAAGTCCACACACCCCTTAAAAGTTGCCAAGTTTGGGAAACACCTAGAGAAAGAATAAATTGTGTTTGAATCTGGATGCCGTCGCCTATTTTCTGCAACTCAGCAAAGGAGAGTCGCTTTCCAGTTAGGAAACGTAACTTAGCAAGCTGAGGCTTGTTGCTGTTCCTTTGCAATCATTTTATACCACGGTGGGAAGGTTGCATAAGAGCTTTCTGTTAATACAAAGCTTCTACTGTATTTTGCTCCCATGACTAAAAGTTTTGAACCCGGGGATCAGAGACCTGGGATCCAAATCTTATTCCCCCCCCCCCCCTTTCAGCCCCTTTTCCAGCTGAGCTTTCCCCTGGGGGGGCACCCAAGCTTTCTTCTCTCCCCCAGTTTTCTCCCCCCCACTTCCAATCTTATTTTCATTCCATGAAGGTCCTGAAAAAAAGTTTAAACTCCTTTTTCGTTTTTGTAAAAACAGATTTTTCTCTGGCCTCTAATAAGAATACAATAATAATATTAAGCATAGTAATCCTAATAGTCATAACAACAACATTCATTGTATTGTTGACTTCTCTATCTTAACGTATTTTCTATATTTCACTGATCTTTTATTTCTAACTTCTATCTCAGAGACGAGAAAAGTCTCCCTTTGACCCAACAGGCTCAGATTTCAGCAGTATGCTGACCTAGAACGATGGGAGTTGTAGTCCCTTTGGACTGGGAAGTCCCACTTGAGAAAATGTAGCTGGAGGCACCGTAATCGGGGGAAAAATTTTGGTCTTATGATCCTCAGAAGATTTTGGAGGCCTCTTGTCTGACGCTGCGGTGTTTTTTGTTTTGTTTTTTCCTACAGAAAGAAGACAGCAAAATTGATTGGCTGGGGGTGGAAAATCAGCCCCTGACAGGGTTTTCGTGGCGGGGGGGCTCGGACCCCGAGACCACCGGCATTCAGATCTGGAGCGAAGTCTTCATCGTGATGAAGCCCAACGGGAAGAAGGTGATGGCACGAGTGGCTACGGAGTTGGAAAGGAAAGGCCAGCTTGTAGAAATAGATCTGAATTTCAGGACTAAAACCCAGAGCCTTTTTTTTCTCTCCTGGACAAAACAGAATGACAGAGTTGGAAGGGACCTTGGAGGTCTTCTAGTCTAACCCCCTGCTCAAGCAGGAAGCCCTATGGCATTTCAGACAAATGGCTGTCCGATCTCTTCTTGAAAACCTCCAGCGGTGAAGGAACTACAGCTTCTTGGAAGCAAGTCATTCCACTGGTTAATTGTCCTCACTGTTAGGAAGTTTATCCAGAGTTCCAGGTTGGATCTTTCTTTAATTAACAGAATAGCAAAATAAGAGAGTCGGAAGGGAAGATTGAAGGTCATTTAGTCCAACCCCTGCTCGAACAGGACGCCAATACCAGTCCAGACAAATGGCTGTCCAATTTCTTGTGAAAAGCCTCCAGTGTTGGAGCACCCACAATTTGCAGAGGGAAGCCGTTCCACTGATCAATTGCTCTCACTGTCAGGAAGTTTCTCCTGAGTTCCAGGTTGCTTCTCCCCTGGATTAGTTTCCATCCGTTGCTTCTTGTCCTGCCTTCGGGTGCTTTGGAAAATAAATTGACCCCCTCTTCTTTGGGGAAGCCCCTCAAATATTGGAAGACTGCTATCATGTCACCCCCTAGTCCTTCTCTTCCCTAGACTAGCCAGGCCCAATTCCTGCAGCTGTTCTTCGTATGTTTTAGCCTCCAGTCCCAAACACTTGTGGCTTTTCCCACTACAACTTCCCTGAGCCCAGAAGTGGCTTCTGAACTTTAGATTTTAATTAAAACAAGCATACAAAAAGTTCTTAGTATAGTAGCTATCCTAGGACATCAGTGACAGAGAGAGCAGCTTTCCAAGACTAACCGTTTGGTGACTGGTACAGTTGATATTATTTTATTCTTCTCATCCAGATCATCATTTCTATTATTGCTCTAGCTCATTGTTTGATCCGAGGCTCCCAAAAACCTAAGACTCCAGAAAAATCAAAACTATTTCCCAGATCTTTGTAAAAATTTACATTCTCTCTCATTACTTTTGGCTTGTTTAAAAAGCACGAAGAATTATGTTTGTGTCTAAGGAGTTCAGACTTACCGTTTTTACATGATTCTGCCAATGTGTCAGTTTTCATTTTTAATGTAAAATGCAACATGTATAATAAACCAAATCTCTTTTGAGATCATCATTTTTAAAAAGTGGGTAGGGAATTTGAAAACAAAACTTTTTTTTTTTAAAGGACACCCTTTGGTTAATCTGTTTGATGGGTCTGCGGCAAAAATAAGTTCCTTTGGAGGAGAGGAATTAAAAGGTCTTGTACGGGTTTTTTTTTTGCACGTATTTGACCTGAAGAAAATCATTTGTGGGTTTTCCCCCTCCTCTGGCGGAGAATCCCCTTACTCCGTCTAATTCTGTAGATCGACCGATTGGCCCAAGCTGGTGAGAACGCCTGATGAGGCTTCATCTTGGAAGTTCAACAATAAATTGTAAATATTCAAGAATTTGCCTCTTGCTTGCAGGTCGCCGTTGTGCTGATGGACACCCAGGGGGCTTTCGACAGCCAGTCCACCGTCAAAGACTGCGCCACCATTTTTGCTCTCAGCACCATGACCAGTTCCGTTCAGGTGAGCGGCCATCCGTTCACTTCTCAGAAAGTCCTGCTGTTTGCAGCTGGCCGTGATTGGCAAGTTAGGAAAGCTAGCATGGGGTCCCACTAGGAGTGACATAAATGCAGGAAGTTAGCTGAAGGTCGTGATGCCCTTGGAGACTCAAATGTCTGTCTATCTTCATCCATCACCTGTTGGTCTGTCTGTCCACCTGTGTTATCTTTTTATCAATCTATTATCTAACCATCCACCCATCTCTCCCTCTCTTTTGATCCATCCTCTCTCTCTCTCTCTCTCCAATTATCCATTTTTCTTAATTCTTTCATCCATGATCCATCCAACCTATATCTGTCTATCATCTAATCTACCTGTCTGCCTGCCTGCCTGCCTACCTATCATAGAATAGAATAGATAGAATAGAGTTCAGGTGTGCTTGGACACATAAGGAATTTGTCTTGGTGTATATGCTCTCAGCGTACATAAAAAGAAAAGAAAAGATTCATCAAGAATCATAAGATACTAATCTAAACTAAAGTAATAGATCTAATCTACCATCTAATCCAGGGGTCTCAAACACAATTTTTACCTGGGGGCGGCTGGAGGCAGAGGCTGGGTGAGGCTGGGCTGCATAATATTATACTTTATATTATACTTTATATTTATATTATACACTAATATACTTTCATATCACGGTGGGGGCCACAGGATATCGTCCTACGGGCCGCAATTGGCCTGCGGGCCGCGAGAATGAGACCTCTAATCTAATCTAATCTAATCTAATCTAATCTATCTATCTATCATCTCTCTTATCTCTCTACTTACCTACCTACTTCTCTCTCTCCTATCTATCTGTCTGTCTGTCTGTCTGTCTGTCTATCTATCTATCTATCTATCTATCTATCTATCTATCTATCTATCTATCTATCTATCTATCTATCTATCTTATCTCTCTACTTACCTACCTACTTCTCTCCTATCTATCTATCTATCTATCTATCTATCTATCTATCTAGCATCTCTCTTATCTCTCTACTTACCTACCTACTTCTCTCTCTTCTATCTATCTATCTATCTATCTATCTATTTCTTTCCATTCATCCAACCATTTTATATATGCCCATGATTCTGGACAGCTTTGCAAAATTAAAACAAAATGCCTAAAACCCCAGAAGCATAATAACCCTACCAAGCATTAAAACAATACAGGTAGCCCTTGACTTATAACCCCAATTGAGGCTGGAAGGAACTTTAACCGCTAAGTAATGTGGTTGTTAAGCAAGTTGTGCCCAATTTTGTGACCTTTTTATGCTGCAAATAATGAATTGCGTACACCCTTTCCTTTCCAGATTTACAACTTGTCCCAAAACATCCAAGAAGACGACCTCCAGCAGCTCCAGGTAGGCAGGAGCTCTCCATAAAGTGTGTGATTATTTTCATGCAACTGGTCCTCAGTGTTGTTTTCTTTTTCTTTCTCTTTGTGCAGCTCTTTACCGAATACGGGCGTCTGGCCATGGACGAAATCTTTCTCAAGCCATTCCAGGTATGTGTTTGGTCAGTCAGGAGTAGGGAGAGGGAGACTGCCTGGGCCACCTCGGGCTCCATTTATAATTCACCTGTGGAACTCACAGCCACAGGAAAACGTGAAAACTTTGAAATCCAGGCAAAAGTTGTGAATCTGAAAAGCTTTAAGTTGGCCGTGCTCGGATTTGGGTTAGAAACTTGATCCCGTGTCTTGGGTTCTAACCACTGTTTTGAGATCAAAGCAGAGTTGTCTTGATTTTGCTTCTCCAGGATCTGGGACAACTTGGATCGAATTGAATAATTTTGCATTCAGATATTTTGCACCCTTTAAAAAAAACTAAAAAAAACCAGGCACTGTCTAAAGATCGCAAGCCTCCTGCTTGGTTTAAAAGCCACTTCGGTGGACAAAAGCTTTAAATATTAGTTTATTTGCTGGCTTTATCTGCCACGTTACTTTCAAGATAGGTTATATACAGCAACCTAATCTCCCTTCCACAACGACAGTCCTGTGAAGTAGGCAGGCCTGAGCCAGAAATAACCTGCCCAGAGTCCCACAAGGAAGGGACTTCTATGGCTGAGGGAGGATTTGAATCTGGGTCTCCCCATTCATAGTATAGTATCTTCACCACTGGAACACCACTGTCTCTGATACTGAGAGGGAGGAACTGACCCCCAAGTCCTCCAGGGATCTCCTGTGGTTGAGATGGACTCAAGATCTCTGCTCTCTGGGTCCAGAACAGAATAACAGTGTTCGAAGGGACTTCAGAGGTCTTCTAGTCCAACCCGCTATACCAGTCCAGACAAACGGCTGTCCAGTTTCTTGTTAAAATCCTCCAGTGTTGGAGCACCCACAATTTGTGGAGGGAAGCCGTTCCACTGGTTAATTATTCTCACTATCAGGAAATTCCTCCTTAGTTCTAGGTTGCTTCTCTCCTTGATTCGTTTTCATCCGTTGCTTCTTGCCCTGCCTTCAGGGGCCTTGGAGAATAGCTTGACTCCTTCTTCTTTGGGGCAGCCCCTCCAATATTGGAAGACTGCTATCATATCACCCCTAATCCTTCTTTTGATTAAACTAGACCAGTGGTTCCCAACCTTTTTTTCGCCCCGCACCCCTAAAGAAATTTCACTCGAACCTCGCACCCCCTGAAATTTAGACTTTAGGAACTACTGAACGCGTTAACTATATGGTAGGATTGAATCTTTTCAGCTATGTATGTGACGGCCACTAAATAACGATACTTAACTCTAAAATGAAAACAAAGTTAATCCATTGCATAATAAATAAAAATGCCAACATATAGCCAATATCCTATTATTTACCTGGACTTTTCTCGCACCCCCTGGAATATCGTCTCGCACCCCCAGGTTGGGAACCCCTGAACTAGACGTACCCAATTCCTGGGATGCGGTGGCTCAGTGGCTAAGACGCTGAACTTGTCAATCGGAAAAGCCGGCAGTTCAGCGGTTCGAATCCCTAGCATTGCCGCGTCGCGGAGTGAGCTCCCGTTCTTTGTCCCAGCAGCTTCTGCCAACCTAGCAGTTCGAAAACACGTAAAAAAATGCAAGTAGAAAAACAGGGACTCCTTTGGCGGGAAGGGAACAGCGCTCCTCCGTGCGCCTTCGGTGTTTAGTCCTGCCGGCCACATGACCACGGAGACGTCTTCGGACAGTGCTGGCTCTTCGGCTTTGTAATGGAGATGAACAGCGCCCCCTAGAGCCGGAAACGACTAGCACGGATGTGCAAGGGGAACCTTTAGCCAATTCCTGCAACTGTTCCTCATATGTTTTACCCTGCAGAACCTTTGTCGCCACATAACCCTGGCCCTTAACGTGCCTTCTCTGCAGGAAAGAGACAATTTCTGTGCCTTGGAGTGGCCACAGCAGGGAAATCTTGGGCTACAGAGGTTTAATCTGAGCCTTCTCTCTTTTTTAAAAAAAAAAAACAAATTTTATTAGTTTTACAAAACAATACACAAACAATCAAGGCATAATAACATAAAAGATCTTTTCTAAGAAAACCAATAGAACATACAAAATAGTTCCAAATTGTAATATATATATATTTACGTTATCTGTTCAACTTCGTATCTTATCCCAACTTCTCCTTTTCATTCTATTATCCAAATTATATTTCTTGCTAATTAAAATTTTATTGCCTTTCAAAAACAATACACAAACAAACAAAACATAAAACATTAAAAAAAAACATAAGACATCTTTTCTGAAAGCTGCTTGATCCCGGGTTAAAACTCTTCGCACAGACACAAATTCAAAAATCATATTCACTTTATATATCATTCCATATCTTATTACCATTTTCAATTTTCTATATAGCTTCTTCCCTCTTTTATCTTTCTTAGTTTTATTTTATTTATCTCATCTCAATTCAATTCATAATACTTATCATTCTTTGTCTGCTCTATTTCCAGCTATCCATTCATCTTTTCTCTTTAAATATACTTCTCCTGTACACTGATTGGAGTGACGCCTTTGACTCTCTTAACGCAGACGCTGATGTTCCTGGTGCGAGATTGGAGTTTTCCCTACGAGTATAACTACGGCTTGGACGGAGGCATGAGTTTCCTCGATAAACGTCTGGAGGTAAAGCAAACAAACAAACAAAAAACCCTCCAGACACTCTGTTAGTTCTGGCAAGCGTTGGGTTTGGTTGGACCTGTTCTGAGTCCTCCTCTTTTTCCGCCACAAGGTCAAATCTCACCAGCACGAAGAGATCCAGAACGTTCGCAAGCACATCCATTCCTGCTTCACCAACGTCAACTGTTTCCTCTTGCCTCATCCGGGACTCAAAGTGGCCACTAGCCCGAATTTTGATGGCCGTCTGAACGGTAAGGCCTGGAACCTCTGAAGGACTTGGGTCTTGACATGGAAAAGACCTCACATGCTCAACACAGCTGGGAAAATCCTCTTTGGAAAAAAAAGGTCTCCCGGTTTTATTAAAAGCATTTCAGAGTGGGGTTGTCTGTCTGGTTTCTGTTTAATTGCAGACCAGGGATCTTCAAACTTAGCAGATAACCGATAATCAGAGTTGGAAGGGACCTTATAGGTCATCTAGTCCAAGAGACCCTACACCATTTCTGACAAATGGCAGTCCAATCTCTTCTTGAAAGTCTCAAGTGATGGCGCTCCCACAACGTCCGAGGGCAACTTCTGTTCCATCGGTTGATTGTTCTCACTGTCAGAAAATTTCTCCTTGTTTCCAGGTTGAATCTCTCCTTGTTCAGTTTCCATCCACTATTCCTTGTCTGGCCTTTGGGTGCTTTAGAAAATAGCTTGACCCCTTCCTCCTCTCTGGGGCAGCCCCTCAAATATTGGAAGATGCTCTCCTGTCTCCCCTGGTCCTTCTCTTCCCTAGACTAGCCAAGCCCAGTTCCTGCAACGGTTCTTCATATGTTTTAGCCTCCAGTCCCCTCATCATCCTGGTTGCTCTTCTCTGTACTTTTTCTAGAGTCTCAACATCTTTTTTATAATGTGGTGACCCAAACTGGATGCAGTACTCTAGGTGTGGTCTTACTAAGACACACTTACTAACTTCATAACTTTAAGGCTCTTCAACTGACTGGTTGAGGAATTCTGGGAGTTGAAGTCCACAAGTCTTAAAGTCTTTGGAGAGAAGGACCAGGGATGACATGAGAGCAGCCTTCCAATATTTGAGGGGCTGCCACAAAAAAAGGGGGACTATTCTCTAAAGCACCCGAGGGCAGGATAAGAAGCAATTAACAGAAACTAATCAAGGAGAGAAGCAACATGAAATTAAGGAGAAACTTCCTGACAGCGAGAACAATTAACCAGCGGAACGGCTTGCCACTAGAAGTTGTGGGTGCTTCATCCCTGGAGATGTTTATGAAGAAACTGGACAGCTGCTTGTGCAGAATGAAACAGGGTCAAGTTCGAATCTCCCGCCCTCCCCTTTTACACCCTGATAACGAGGGAGGATCTCTTCTCATCCTCTTTCTCTCCCCTTTATGCAGCTGAGGGCTCAGCTGCCTCTTATCGTATTTTGCCCTAAAAGGCTTTCCCCATATAACATTACAGTCATTACATGCAATAATAAATGTCTGTATTTTATAAGGCCATAAAACAAACTCATTTCCGGGGGGGGAAAGAACTCCACTCCCGTTGCATTCTTCCTCTTTTTCTCTTTTTCATCCACCTTTCCTTTTTGCGTAGACATCGCCGACGAATTCAAGGATCAGTTGAAGCAGTTGATCCCCTTCGTCCTGGATCCCAGTCAGCTCTTAGAAAAGGAGATCAATGGCTCGAAAGTGACCTGCCGAGGCCTGTTGGAGTACTTCAAGGTGCGTTTCATCACACCGAGCATTGTTTGCTTTCTTTTTTTTCTTTTTTCTTCAGCGAGATGAAGGTCAGCAAAGAAACAAAGATATTGAGGGCTGCTCAGTCCGGCGGCCGGATTTAATTAGCGTATTTATTTAAAATTGTTTATGAGCAACTCTTGAGCTGCTTGCAGTCAGATCTTCCCGTGGATTTGGGGCAGGTGTACACAGAACAGAACAGGGAAAAAGGGATAAGAATTTACCAGAATGTTAAGAAGCAGGCGTTTTGGGGAGTCACGTCTTTTTAAGATCACGGATCTAGCTACTGGTTCCCAAATGGGAACCATCTCAAATCTGGGCCTGGGCAGTCATGGTGTCATTTCTGTGGCTGTTTACCCCCCAAAAAAGAGAGAGATAAGCTTCTTTGATCCTCCAGAGTTCAAAAACTCTTCCTCCTGCAAAGTCCTGAGTGAGGCACCAGTAGGAACTGAGCTATTCAGATTTCCTTCCTTCCTTCCTTCCTTCCTTCCTTCCTTCCTTCCTTCCTTCCTTCCTTCCTTCCT